GTGTTTACAAGAAAACTTCCTATGAGACTCCTCACATAGGAAAGACTTAAGCCTGACCGGTGATGTCTTTGTTTCTTGTTCATACAACGGAAGCAAAATGTAGATGTGTTCTTATTCTCTGTGTAGACCCTCCTGTTGCAAGAGGTTTTATGAGGCTTTCCAGAATCTTAGTGAGTCAGCATTAGAAGAAGAAAGCTTAGAGAGACAGCAGAAGGAAATACTGCTCAATTTGTCATGTCAGTTTAGCTCCAAAGAGAGTAATGTTTCCACAGTTGTGGGAAGAGTGATTTCTGAATCTGAATACACCAGGTGCTCAGACATAGGAGATTTACTTCTTCACCATTGTGCGATTTCTGTGATGAACTGTATCTCATAAAAGACCTCTAAGCAGTACAAAGGCAAGAGAGGGAGTCTTACTCCTGAAGAACCTTCTTATTTTTTCGATCCTCTGAAACTGTACAATCAAATAATATTCATCTTTCACTGTAAAATAGTAGCATTTATCTTGTTCTAAGGACCTTTTATATAAGTATTCTCAAAGATATGAACAGAAAGCAGTCCCCTGGCAGTATTTTTTGGTTGCTCTGTTAAATTATAGCATGCTGTACGTGGGTGTATACATGACATATGCCTTTTGTGCATAAATAACTTGGAGCATTACTGTCAGAGGGTAATCTCTCAATAGAAGCCTGTGTGTTCCATGATTCTTAAACTCAGCAGCTGCTTATTATATTTATGGGATTATTCTTTTTAAGGCTTCCCCCTCCCCAACTTATGCCAGTAGTCAAAAATGCAAGTGAGAAAGTAAGGAAGAATTTATTTATTCAGGTAGTTGTGACATGAATAATCCTATCAGGATAATGAAGCGCTCCAATGCAGTTTCCTAAATAATGATGCGTGTTATGTGGGTAAATATATCCAAGCCCAGAGCACACAGGAATTGCAGCATTTCTGCCATGTGCCTGCCTAGGTTCTGCTTCTGACTCAAAATGGCCTCTTCCAAGTTAATTTTTAGGCAGGGTTCCTTGAGTTCAACTCTTGAATCTTGAATATCCTACTAGACTAGACCAGGGTCTGTGCTATAGCTATACAGGAGACTATTTAAAAGGTGATTGGCCATGTTTTTTTTTTTTTTTTTTTTTTTTTTTTTTTGCTATTTTCTGCTCCAAGTATCTGGCTTAAGAAGATTTGAAAATTAATTTCCATCCAAATGACTGTTGGGGTCATCTACAAAATTAGGGTTCTCAAAATAAATCAGGCAGCTGTACTCTAAATACTCTAAATAATAACATTTGCCAAGGAGTTGGGGTAGAGGACATAATTCTCTGTGAATCAGGTTCATTCACAGAAAATTTGACTCCTTATTAAAAGATGATAGTGCTAGCGGTGTTAATTACAATGTACATAAAGCCTACAATGTAAAGCCTAAAAATTAAGAGCAGGACCACACGGATCATGTGGCTCCTCTGTCCGAGGCAAAAAAAAATGTAGAAGCCACTGTTTTTCCTCAAGGAAGCCTCCTTCCTGACTGTCAAGATAGTAAAGATTTACACACATTTTCCAAAATGGTACATTCTGGAATCCACTTTGAGTGTTTAACATTGTTGCAAACTGCTTTCTCATGGCTTGTAAAGTGTCCTCTCTAAGTGGGGCAGAGAGTAGGTCCCAAGGGAGCCTTAGTGGCTTGGAGATTATGGAAGTGAGAGGAGATACAACACTTTCATGACTAAATGAATTTATCATACGTGGTTTTTTTTTTTCTGCTTTTATTTTACTCGTGCTTTACATTTTACTTGTGCTTTTACATTTGGCCTTATCAGTTGAGACTCCCACCTCTCCCTCAATCTTCTAGACATCATTTGGATACAAATTTATAGGATGTTTCAGATTTGTGTAATCCTTCAGGGGGTTGTAAGTGTATTTAGTTGTATTTTGACTTTTGTGGGTCATTGAGAACGTTTACTGCAATAAATTTACTGCATAACATGATAAATCACGTTATCCTTCATAACATGAATGAAGCAGCAACTATGTTTTGCTCAGTAAGGTCTGGGAGGAAAAGATCCATTTGTCTGATTGTTATGAACAGTGCAGTGCCGTATGAGTGAGTGTTGTGATGCCTGAAACCAAAGGAGGAAAAGAAGTTGTGGTTCTGAAATACGAGAGAAGCTATATAAACAAAAATGGATTCAGCTGGAAAAGCCAAGGATCTAAGATGCCTGTTGGATTGGAAGAAGGACATTTGTTTATGTATTTTTAGATCTATTTATGTATTTGAGAAAGAACACGCATGTGGATGTAAGGGGCAGAGGGAGAGAATCTTCAAGCTGATTCTTCAAGCTGAGCAAGGAGCCTGACCTGGGCTCCAGGCTCCACGTGGGGCTCGATCCCATGACTCATGAGATCATGACCTGAGCCAAAACCAAGAGTCCGATGCTTAGGCAACTGAGCCACCCAGGAACCCCAGGAGAAGAAACACTTAAAAGATGACGAAGGGGATGCCTGGGTGGCTAAGCGGTTGAGCATCTGCCTTGGCTCAGGGCGTGACCCCCAGGTCCTGGGATCGAGTCCCGCATCGGGCTCCCTGCATGGAGCCTGCTTCTCCCTCTGCCTCTCTCCTCTCTCTCTCTCTCTCTCTCACCCTCTCTCTCTCCCTGCGTGTTTCTCATGGATAAATAAAACTTACTTTAAAAAAATAAAAAATAAATAGAAGATGAAGATGTGAAAAAAATCTACTGAAATGGAATCTCTGAAAATAAAATGTTCCTATAGTTTACATTAAGAATATATGGAAAGTAATGCAAATATAAATGTTTTTAATATTATGCCAGTTGACAAATGGTTGAGATAGAGCCTGAGCACAATGTGCAAGTTCTCACAGAGGGGAGGGGGCCAGGGGATGTGTAATGGTATATTGTACAACCTGTGTAAGGTCAATAACTATATTCCTCCTCCCTCCAGTAAAAGTCATCTGCCCTTTAGGATTTTCCTTACAAACTCCTTCTTATCTTCTTTTAGTTCCAGATTATTTGGAAGTAAAAAGTGGGCTTCTTTATCACCACTTCTCAAATATGCTGCTATATTTATGAGAAGGGTAGGGAAAAGTTCCAAGGGATTATAATTAGAATCTCAAGGGTCATTACCAGCTCTGCGTTTTAAAGTGATGGTAATTGATAAGGTTAAGGATTGCAGGACTTGAATTAGTGTAGGAGAAGTTTGTGCCATGTGCACGAGGAGGGTTCAACATCTATTTTTCTATCTTGACAATATATCTAAGGACGTTTTTTGTATTCTTAAAGTTTGAAATAATAATGCTATTGCTAAACCTCCTTTAATCATTCGAGTATTTTGTCAATTAAAAAGTAGAAACAGGCAGGCAGCAGAATGGTGGTTGTTTAGGCAACCATCCAGGATGAGGAAAAATGAACAACGCAGTGATGTTTGGCTGAAGAAGAAAATTGGGGAATGAGCAATTGGTGTCTTGTAGTCTCTGACTGCTGTGGTGAAGGTGGTTGCTGTGGTGAAGGTGGTATAGAGTTGTTCAGTCACCTTCAGAGCTCCTAGGACCAGCAGATGGAAATGAAAGGCAGGCAAATTATTCATCCTCGGAAATGTTTTCACAATGAGACCTGTCCAATAGCAGAAGGAGCCATCTCTTCTGGAGACGATGCCTTTCCAATCTTAGAGGCTTCAGGCAGAGGCCCATGACTACCTCCCAAGGGAGGCATAGATGAGTTCCTTCACTGGCTGAGAGGAAAGGTGGGGCATTCTTTGAAACCCCTGACAATTCTATGATTATATTATACAGGTGAAGTGAGTGTATTTACTGTGTATTTTTTTTTAAATCTGGCATGAATTCTATGTAAGGAAATGAGCACGTTAACTATCTATGTACATTCTTGAAATAGCCTGTAGGTATGCATCTTGACTTCTCCGTGTGACAGTTTTCATACAGAAGTTTAATCAATGCTATTTCCTACCTTCACTTGCCCTTCTGTTTTTCCTTTCCTTCGTTCCCTTCTCTTTCCCACTATCCCCTTCTTTTGCCTTCCTCTTTTCCCTCCTCCTTCTCGTACCTTCCCTTCCCTGATCCCCTTAGCCCATCCATTTCCCCTACCTCCCTTCTTTTCTCCTTCATCTTTCTTACTAAAGTTTCTCCTCACTGGACATCCTTCTGAGCCCAAACTGAACAGAACAGAAGCTGTACTTCGCCTACTGTCTCCCCGTGTTCTTCTCAGTATCCAGATAGACCAGTTTCAGATGGCCACTCGCTTGGGAGTATTACATGTCCATAATCAGACTGGTTTAATGGCACCTCTCCCTCCAAATGATAGGTAGTGGTTGTGCAAGGCTAGCATTTGTCACACTGGCAAAGCTGCTGGTTTCATGCCTGTTAAACACAGGAGGGGGTTAGATGCTAGAGCCTCTCCTGGAACTCGAGCATCTAGGTGTGGATGCTGTAAGTCTCTGTAAAAAGTGACAAATATTTAAAAACAAAGCCATCCAATGTTAATAGGAGACTTACAAAGGTACTGCTTCTGTAAGAAAAGGCCTCTTATTTCCCAGAATCCAAGTGTGTAATTGTACAAGGTAAGTTCATCTTATTATTCTGACTATACCTAGGAAGAGGTAATTATGAGGATAATTAGAATCCAAATAATTCCAGATTTTTAAATTAAACTCAGCAAGAGAGAGTACTGTGTAATATATTTCTGAATTAATCACTGTCACTTTGCATGATTTAGGTCATGAATCTACAAAGTATTATTGTATTATCGTCACTCCTTATTATCCATTATTACTTCCAATGTTACGTTTGTTTCTATTCACATTTTATTTGTAGAAAGGAGACATAATTTTCAGGCAGTAAGCATTTGGAATTCCCTACCTATTATTTTACTTTTAAGGAGAGGAATTTATATTACTTATCTAGGTAGACAATTATTCTAAGACCAGTAAATGTCTTGACTAATAAATTTATGATTATGTTACTTTTCTAGGTGAAGATCCTGAAACAAGAAGAATGAGAACAGTTAAAAACATAGCAGATTTGAGGCAGAATTTAGAGGAGACTATGTCCAGTCTTCGTGGGACCCAGATAAGCCACAGGTTTTTTTCTCAGTTCTATATATAAAGAGAAAAATAACAGCCAAGCACCTAACCTCTTATAAGGATAAAGAAAGAATTTTAGTTTCCTTATTATTTTCGTCAATTTTACATGGCATTCATCTGGTGACTTCTTAGGACAGACCCAGGGACTTTTTTCTCCTATCCATCTCTTCTTCCATGTAGTGTCCCTTTCAAACCGAATTAGCCACTGAAACTACCACCATCACTACTAAGTAGATTTCATGCCTGTGACAGACAGCAAGGCAAAGTTGCAGTTGAAATGCATCTAGGGCAGGGGTGGGAGCAGGGGGTCGGCGATGGGCGAGGGATAGACCATGAAACATAATTGTACTCCACTTCCAGGATGGTTCTGGGAAGCCTTTGGGGTTAGGTTAAGGGTTTGTTGAAACTGTGAAACAAAATTCTGTTTCATGTAAAATGATTGATGATGGCCTTTCTTTTGAAAGCAGAAATGCAAAACAACAGACTTCAAATGAATGCCCCTTCCCACACTGACATGTGCAGAGGTGTTTTGCATCTCATGATGAATGCCTAATTTGACTCGCATGCAAATGACGTACTTCTAAGAAATGACTCCGCTCTAGCCTTTCCTGTAGACCATAGTCTTGGTCTATGATACCAAGTGAATTATAGTTATTTCTTCATTTGTTTAACAGCACCCTGGAGACAACATTTGACAGCACTGTGACAACAGAAGTGAATGGAAGAACCATACCCAACCTGACAGGCCGACCCACTCCCATGACCTGGAGGCTGGGTCAGGCATGTCCTCGACTTCAGGCTGGAGATGCTCCCTCCCTGGGGGCTGGCTACCCTCGCAGTGGCACCGGCCGATTCATCCACACGGACCCCTCGAGGTTCATGTACACGACGCCTCTCCGTCGAGCAGCTGTCTCTCGGCTGGGAAATCTATCACAAATTGACATGAGTGAGAAAGCAAGCAGTGACCTGGACATGTCTTCTGAAGTTGACGTTGGTGGATATATGAGTGATGGTGACATCCTTGGGAAAAGTCTCCGGGCTGATGACATCAACAGTGGGTAAGCGGCCTTTATCTCTATCAGCGTTATGCGAACGGGGACGGTGGCCTACAGAGATGCATTAGCTGGAAGAGGAATAATTAGGCTAGCTCACAGAGTCATTAGAAACCGTGACAAATGGAAGGTTATTGGGGGTATATCAGGCCCCCTTTTCTGCTCATTTGTGAAGAGTAAAATATCTAAGACTTCTGTAAAATCATTTCATTGTAAGCTATTAAATTTTTCTCTTATGACTTCAGAGAAACAAATATGCCTTTGCTTTTCAGAGTGATTTTCACATGCTTCTTAAGTAACAGATTTTGTAGTGAAAGATGTGAGAAGACAGGAGGAATTTTGCTGAGCTGCTGGACTTGTTTTTTTTTTTTTTTTTTTTTTAATTTGGCTTGTCAAAGCTGCCTCTAACTTTGAAGAACAAATATCTTTAAGCATTCATTTATGTACCTCCAATCTAATTTGAGGGAAATCATTTTAGAATTGAGAGTTTCAATCTCTTTTGATGGTATCAGATTTAAAAAAAAAAAAAAACCCGCCTTTTTCTTCTGCTTTCTATTATATTCCAAAAACAGGAAATTAATTAATTAATTAATTAATGATTATATATATAGATGATTAGAAAACTCTTAAAGATTTTGGCAGTGAGGAATATTTAGTTCAATCTGAGGATGAGCCCCAATGGAAGCAATAGGATAATCTATTAAAACTACTTCTATTACTAACAGTAATTCCATACAGATAAGAAAACTGATCCTAACTGAGCACAATTGTATAAGGCTAAGGAAGAGCTAGAATGGCACTAGAACTCAGATATATCTGACTTCAAAACCCTGGCTCTGTTAATGCAAGGAAAAGCTTCCCAAATCAATTTCATGATTTTCATGTTTTGAAATTTAGGAGTTTTGACTTACTTTTTGTCCTTGTATACCTGAGAGAACCAGTATCAGAAATCATTCTTCTTAAGAGTAACCCTTCCTGACTTCATTCATGAGAGGACAGAAAAGCTTATTTAAAGGTGACAGGCCTACGGAAGAGCTTTTAGATCAGTGTGTAGCTCTGCTCTGATACCCTGCGATCCAGAGCTTGCCTGGTGCCACCTTCCCGGATGGCAAAATCCCAGCAATGCAGACTTAGACGGATTGTGGTCAGTGAGGGTAGGCAGTAGTTGAGTTGCCAATGGAGTCAGACAATTTAAATTCCTTTCTTCCATTTGCTATCTGTGGACTTTGGAGAGGCGCCTTAAGTTAGACGCTTTTTTGTTTTCTGTAATTAGGGATACGATTGCAGAATCTCCACAAAATTCCTAGGAAGTAAGAAAATAACCCACAAAATTGTACTAACTCAGAGCCTGTCACGGTCTGAGTGTTGAGTAAATTTGTCACCAGCATCATAATTTCATGTATTATCATTAATAATCATACTAATGTGTGGATGTTACTGTTATCATTTTTGTACATATTAAAAACCACCTAGGAGGGGATACCCAGCTCAGGGAACGTGATGGCAACACAGGAACAGCTAAGGCAGGAACTTTTTCTCCCGCCTCTCCCTTTTCTTACCCAGTCTTTCCAATCTCTTACATCCTCCTCTTTTTTCTTTCTTCATCTCTTTAAATGACAGCATATGTGTATATTTTTATATTCACTACTGGATGAAGATTTAATTATATACATAAATATAACATATACATGCCTATATATACATACATTATACACATAATACACACATACACACATAGGCAGTCACTCTCCTTATATGCGGTAGTTACATTCCTTTTTTTTTTTTTTAATTTATTTATGATAGTCACAGAGAGAGAGAGAGAGAGGCAGAGACACAGGCAGAGGGAGAAGCAGGCTCCATGCACCGGGAGCCCGACGTGGGATTCGATCCCGGGTCTCCAGGATCGCGCCCTGGGCCAAAGGCAGGCGCCAAACCGCTGCGCCACCCAGGGATCTCAGTTACATTCCTTTTTTAAAAAAAAATTTTTATTTATTTATTCATGAGAGACACAGAGAGGCAGAGACACAGGCAGAGGGAGAAGCAGGCTCCATGCAGGGAGCCCAATGGGACTCGATCCCGGGGCCCTGGGGTCACGGCCTGAGCCCAAGGCAGACACTCAGTTGCTGAGCCACCCAGGCGTCCCGCAGTAGTTACATTCAATGAGGGTGCCACATACACCAAATTAATGAATATTGAACCATTGCTCCTAGGGGAAAGACAGATGTGGCTCTTGTGAGCTTTAGGTCACATTTTTATCAACTCATCAGAATATAATCGTGTTTTGTGTGTATTTCAATTTAAAGCCACCTTCCTTATTAGTACATGCTGTCGATTCATTAACATTGAGCTCATGCCTTCTCACCACTGCAGTTCATGCCTTGAAGAAGCTTATCTAACACATTATTTTCCATAAGACATATCACAGTCTTCCTACACTTAGGATCACAAGAACTCTTCAGCACTACACTTGGGGGGCATTTTAAACAGAAGAATCTCCAAGACAAAGCACAAAAATGTGGAAAATGTGGCTCTAAAGGGACTGTAAAAAGGATACGTTGGCAGTAGGAGAGCTGAATCAAGAAAGCAGAATGTCACCTTATTTGACCTCAGCTGGGAATGCCCTTATGGGGCAACTCAGACTTGTTGCTGCTCTGTGCCTCTCCATGAGGCACCATGAAAATGTTGCAATTATTGATTTGCAAATTTTAGCAAGTAAGCAAATTTGCAAACATGGAGTTTGTGAATAATGAAGATTGACTGTATTTATTTATACACCTGTAAAATGCTTATCTTGAGAGAGAAGGCATATCTTGGGAGCAGTTTAAATCAGAAATCAATGGACATTGACAATGCAATATGTGGGTAATTTCAAAAGTTTCATACACATAAAAACTTAGAATAAGGAGAAAGTGCTAAACCTAGGCATGAGATAGGAGGGAATAAGAAAAAGAAATAGTTTAGTTACACTCTCTGATTTAAATAGCTATAGAGGAGGGGACTGTATTAAGAGAATTTTTGTAGGAAAAGTATAAATGATGTAGAAAGAAGGCCATTTAGTGAGCCTGACTAAAATATAATTTTCAAAATCAGAGGGACAATGGGATTAGATGACACTCACTGACCTTTCCCTTAATTGAGATTCATGGAATCTGAATCCTTAATTTTGAGAGATAGGGTCTCTTGTGACAGGCTTCAATAGCATTATGCTAAGAAGTTTAAACTGTGTACTCTAAGCAATGGAAAGCCCTGTTATGTTTTTTTCTTTCTTTTTTCTTTTTTAAAGATTTTATTTATTCATGAGAGACACACAGAGTGGGGGGGCAGAGACAGAGGGAGAAGCAGGCTCCATGCAGGGAGCCCGATGTGGGACTCCATCTGGGTTCCTGGGATCACGTCCTGAGCCGAAGGCAGGCACTCAACTGCTGAGCCACCCAGGAGTCCTGAAAGCACTGTTTCTTAAGGGAGATTATCTAATAGTCACAAAATAGGGCATGATGATGATTTTTGAGAGTCCCTTTTAGGGGAAATCTGCAAAATGGATTGGGAGGAGAAGCTCTGGTGGTAGATTTCAGACACTACTGCAAAACCTCATATCCAAGGTCTATAGCCCAGAAATATGGGAATAGCCTTGATGGGGATGAAAGGAGGGAAAAATTGATATGTGAGATACCACAAAGGAGAAATTTACAGAAATAATGATAGGCTACTCACAATGGCTTGAAAGAGGCAGAGAATTCACATAAGATGCCCATTTTGTAAGCACCAGAGATAGGAAATTATACTGTTACAAAAAAGAAGCAAAAAGAGAGACTATTTTTTTTTTTTTTTTGAGAAAGCAGAAGGGAGATAATGGATGTAGAGTCAGAAATGCAGACAGAAATGTAGTGATTGTGATATAAGCTGAAAAAGTCGAAGTAGTATCCAGGGTAGAGATATGATGGAAAGTGTGGTCTCATCTAGAAGATAGTAGAACTTATGGGAGACATGAGGACTTCTGGGAAAAGAATAGAGAGAAGGGTCCTGAGCTGAAGTTTGTGTGTGTATATATCCAAAATATATTTCTGAGTTTATCCTAGGTGCCAAGCAGCATTTTGCGAATGTGTGTGCAATAGTGAGTGATATAGACAAAGCATCCTGTGACTCACCCACTAGTGTTGTTTATATTTTTATAGGTACTCACTTGTCCAATGAATGAATGACCAATAGATACACATGTTTGTAAGTAAGTATGTGTGTATACATTCTTAGATTAGCAGTTTTTTCTTAAGGCAATTTTTTAAAACAACTGAATCTATATATAATGATGTATATTACAGGCATACCTATACTCAGAAGCATTTTGTATTTTCCAGGACCCTAGCTGTATTAGTTAACAGTAACTTCTGTAAACAAGAAATCTCAAAATCTTATAACTTAACACAGAGTTCATTTCTCCTTCACATAAAATCTTCACTGGGGTTTCTGACCTTCATTTGGGAAGGTACGCATGTAGCCTATAGGAAAACAAGATTGTGGTAAGTAATTCCACTGTCACACCCACATTGACACTCAACCAGCAGGTAGCTTATTCCATGGCATGAGAATATTTCATCTGTACCAGGCCTAGAAGTGGCTCATATGACTTCCACACACATTCCCTTATCTAAAATAGCTGGATGGCCGCATCTCACTATAAGAGAAGCCAGGAAATATGTTTCAGCTGTAGGCCCAGAAGGAAGAGGATGTTGTTTGATGAGAGCTGGGTAGTTTCTGCTGAATTCACTTAGGGGAAAAAAAAAGTTATGTCCATTGTCTTTCCTACTTGTTTCATGCCTCAGTGAAAACCCAATTCAGTCTTCTCTTCATTTTTGTTCCCTGTCTTTCAAATGAAGTCTTGGGTAGTTTCACAGATGAGCTCATTTAAATATGCATCAGTGGTCTGCATGTTTTATGTTGTCATCCATATTCAGTATATTGAAAAAAAAAACACACAAAAAATGCTGCATGAAAACTTGCCCTGATGATGT